ATTTATTGTTTTATTTAAGTCAAGACCCAGTCAAGTGTGTTTTTCAGCATTGTTTGCTATTTTAATATTTCTAAATTTTGTGCATGAAAAATTTTCCCCTTGATTGTAAACACACAGAGATTTAAATTTTATAATGTTTAAAAATATAAAAGAAGGAAAAATATCRTGTGCACTTGCTTTGTATATATCCCAAAGAGTCCTAAATTGTTTACCACAAATGAAGAATTGCCTGAGTATGAGATGGGATTCCAACATGAAACCACAAAACCACCATCAGCCACTGAGTCTGAGCTGTGAGGATCCTTGGAGTCTGCTGAGGGCCATTGCCAAGTAGGTATGACGCATCGATATTTCCTTGCCAGCGCACCCCATGTTAAATGGACTTGCCTTGGAAATTTGCTGCAACCTTGCATGTGTGTTTGAGAAAGATGACCCTGCTCAAGGTGATCGAGGGTGGATCCAGGTTTGAGGAAGTATCCTGCAGGTTTGAAGAAGTATCCCGGTCCTTGGGTTTAGGGTGTTCCCGGTTTAAGGCGTTTCCCCGGTTTAAGAATATGGGTTTTAGGGAAGTTGAGGTTGAAGATTATTGCTGCTGGGATTAGGGTGTTCCTGCTGCTTGTTCCCATTGAGTTCTCGTCAGATAAAAATGGGATTTGGAAAAAGCCTTGTGAGTAGGTGATTGGGGGCGGCGGCATATTGGAGATTTGGAGCAGAACGTGTTTGTAGACGGCCGGTGTGAGTTCGGGAATAAAGATTGCTGTTTGAATCTAYAAGGTGTGTGGTGGCTCCTGATTCAGTGCCAGAGTCAGCTCCTGGCAACAGATTAGGATGGGAAGGGGCATAGAACCAATTGGAAAAATGTAGTCATTTTTTATTTGATATGAGTCATTTGACTCAAATCAAAAGGTCTGTGGCATTTGTTCCCATCCAGTCATTTAACATGTACCTAATGAGCTTCTCTGATATCTCCTGCACTGTTCAGGTGCTTGGCAGGCAGATGGCAACCTCACTGAGCCCTGAGGACCACGGAGCTCACACTGTGGGCAGGGGCCAGCGAGACAATAGCATCCAGTAAACACAGGATTGAGATGATTCCTAGCTCTCAACTGGACTGGATAGAAAGACACTGAGAACACTGGTAAAGCACACTTCTGGGTGTGTCTGTGGGAGTGTTTCCAAAGACAGTAGGCATGTGTGTGGGCAAAATGAGGGGGAAGACCCGTCCTGAATCTGGGCTGCAGTGGTCACTAGACTCGGTCCAGATGGAACAGAATCAAAGGGGAGCTGTCTGTGGGTGCAACCTCAATTCTCCCTGAGGGGCTGCACTTTTTGCTGCTGCCATTACCTGTGGGCCCTGCACGTCAGCTATTCCAGTCTCTAAATGTGGGTTCACACCCGCGGCTCTCCCAGCAGCTTCCAGGCCTGCAGCCGTAAACTGGGCTGCTTGTTGGTCAACCTCCAGCAGTGGGTGGAGAGAAATTGGGGAGGGACAGTGGGAACTGCCTTTATTAGGGTGTCATCCTGGAGGCCGCCTCCTGGGGCTGTAGATTGGCTAGTTTAAATAAAGCATGAGAAGGGGCACGGACATATTAGATGACCCTGGTGTTAAGCATGCTGGGCTTGGGATCCGTGGGATGAAGAGCAGGTGGGCTTTAATCACAAACAGCCACACAGAGAGGGGAAGTTAACTAGACAGTAGGTGACAGGAGATGACTGCATTTCCAGTAACTATATCAGGTCTAAAAATGGCTTAAACAAATTTATGTCCCCATGTGTCAGGAACAGTAAGGAATTTGATGAATTTACTTAAGAATTCATGTAAAGAGAGCATAATACAATGATGAAAAGTGTCATCTGGGAAAACGTCACAAGTAGGAGTGATACTCAGGAGACTGCCACGTGCAAGCTCTGGCACTCGTGCAAGCAACAAGAAAGAAATGACCTGATGGTGCAAGGTCACAGCGTGACAGTTGCTGAAATATTAAAGAATTTAAATTTCATATAAGGTCTATGGAAATACCAGGTTTCTAAGCCGGACATCATTTTTGTCAGCCCAGAGATAAATCGGACGCTTTATGTAAAAAGCAAGTCTAGTTTGGAGTAAGAATAACTGGGGCATGAAGAAGCAGGGTTCTAACTTTGGGTAATGTCTTTAGACAGTGAAAATAAGAAACGACTGTGTGCAAAGAAAAACACGAGTCAGGGAGAGAGCAGTATGGAGATGACTGAGAGGAAGAGAGTCAGGGAGAGAGCAGTATGGAGATGACTGAGAGGAAGAGAGTAGGACCGCAGGACAGTTATGGAAGAAGTAGAAAAACATAAGATTTTTGAGTTGTAAGAGAAAAATTTAGGTTTCATTTGGCCATTTTGTGAACAAACAGACCATAGACCTGCGGTGGAGACAACCTGAAAGAGGAACAAGACTGCAGGATAAAGGAACAGGGCTTATGTGGTGGGGCTGAGGGAGACACTGAGGGTAGAACTGTGTGGAAAGAACAGACAGGGGACAGTGTTCAGAGACAAGCCAGGAAGGCAGGAAGGCGTGGAGATGAAAGTCATTCACAAGTATTCATTGTAGACTGATTATGTGCCACGTTTAGGTTGCAGATCCACAAATTTAAAGTAGGCCAACGGAATGTGAAGTCTAGAGGGAAAAGACAAGAGGGAATTCTGATCACATCCAAGGTGGAAGGGATTTCAGGAACCATGTTTAGTTCAAGGGAGGGAGAAAATGGACGGGAGAAGGAAGCAGTGCTTCTGAAGTTTTCAGTTATCACAGATAAGTGGAGACTCTGAAATATGATTTCAGGAGTAAGAAGAGTGGGGAAGTGCTTAGGAGAAAAGTAAAGCAARGGGAGAAAGGGGTGGCTTGAAGTGAAGAGTGCCCTTTAAAATTGATGGTCCCAGAAGGCCCTACTGAGAAGATGACATGATGACAGCTCGATTTTCAAAGACATTGAGAGCAATGTGTAGCATGTATCTCCCACTAACTGTGCTTTCACTTCTAGCCTTTATACATGAAAACTAATAATAAAAACAAGGACTAAGGAAGTTATGAAGACAAAAGAACTTAAATGTTCTCTGGTCCAGCCCTRGGAATCTTGGGCAAAAGGTCCAACAATGAGACACCCCAGTGATCAACCAACTTCCTCATCCAAGGCCAACCAGACTTCATATAGGCTGCAGATGCTGTGGCCACCTGCCAGACACAGGAAGTGCGGGCCTGCRGAAAAACAGAAAGTCCCATCAGAATCCAGTGTTTAGCTTTAAATGTAAAATGACCTGGGATGTAAGAAAGGCAGCTGGAGGGGAGAGCAGGATGAAAAGTTATCACTGGAGTGTAAAAATCCACAGTCTCTTGACAAACGGGAGGTGAGAAGGAAGGACCCCAACCTGACCTACAGAGATGAACTGTGTACCTGCCCAAAGGCACTCAGTCCCAGGGGACTTGCCCACCACAAGAGAGCAAATGGAAGTGGGGACAACTAAAGGTATATTTCTTCAAATAAGAGACCATAAGTGACCCTTGGGAAGACTGTACACCCATAGTACTTAGTCACTGAGGAACTGGGGGAGGAGGGAGACAACCCTTGTGCTCTAGGGAATAAAATGCTGGTTGTACCCAATCTGTGTGTCCCTGACCACCAGGTACCCGATCTTGCAAGATTGTTATTAAAGTAAATCCTCCCTTTTTGCTATACTTCGTGTCTCTTAGGCCATTCTCTGAGTTTGGACAGGAGAGTGCGTTTCTCACAGAGGTTAATACAAAACAGATGCTGAGGGTGGGGTGTGCAGCTCACTGCTAGAGCACTTGCCCTGCATRCAGGAGGCCTGGTTTCCATCCCCAGKACCACAAAAAGCAGAAGTCTGATGCTCAACCATCAAACTCCATTGCCATCCATCACCACCCTTCACCTCAGTGGATCATCTCACCTGAGTGTATGGTAGGTAACTAGTCTTAGATATAAACCTTTTGAATAGAACACATGGACTCCTGAAATATGTTTCTAAAATAGATTTATCGTGCCCACTGTTTGAAAGCAGACTTTTTCTAAAGTGACCAAAATGTTTCATATTTCAAGAGCTGTGGATGACAGATGAATAAGGAGTCAAAATCGCCCTAACTGTGGATAGGAGACATACCGTGATGGAGGAGACATTAATGGCATAATCTAGCGGGTGGGTAACAGAGTCTTCACTGTGACATTTTTTCATAATGGAAATTTTTAATTGAGCCGTTCACGTAAGACGTCGTGTCTGAGTCACACTATATGTTAATACGCCCCCCCACCMAAAAAAAGCACCTGCATTTAGGAGGGGTGGGTTAAAAACGGAACAGGACAATTTACTTGGCAATAGATACGATGGTCCTGCATAGGAAATCCCTCTTCACTTCCTCGGTAAGGAGTTTTCCTGAATAAAACTAAAACGGATTCACACAGCTATGCACGCGGGGCCGCCCTACCAGGAAGAGCTCAGCCTGAAAACGCGCTGGCTGCGGCACTCGGAGGAAAGGGACCGCAACAGCTCGCCGGAATCCCGCGTGCCAGTCCGGCTCGGGCACGGCCCCGCCCTCCGCCCCGCCCCAGGCACGGCCCCGCCCTCCGCCCCGCCCC